TTTGTTTTTAAATTTTTATTTATTTATTTTTATTCTTATTTTTATTTATTTATTCTTATTTTCTGGAGGCCTGCCCTGTGCCAGGCACTGTGCTATGACCTGGGGGTTCAGAGATCAACAAGACCCTTGTGGAACGCGGTTTTAGTGGGGCCAATATAATATACACAAGATATCAGTCAGCCCAGTAATTCGAGTGAGTGCTAAGATAATAAATTCTGGGAGATGTGACTGAGAGACAAGGAGGGAGAGTACTAATTCAGACGGAAAGGTGATCTGGGAAGTGTGGTCCGAGGAGGTGACGTGTGAGTCAAAACCTGAAAGACCTGAAGAAGCCAGACATGGAACGCTATGGGAGAAGAGCACTCCAGGTGGAGGGAACTGTGAGTGCAAAGGCCCTGGGATAGGCACTCCTGGTCTAGTGCTCCTTCGCCACTCGCTGCCTCTATAGGGCCCTCAAAGCTGCCCTTTGATGTCCTGGGCCTCCCTCAAGCTCAGTCCTAAGGTGTCAACTTATCCAGAGAGTAGCAGCTCTCTGAGGCACTGGGTCCCCCTCCCAGAAGCCTTGTGGGAGAACCGGATCTGAGTCTCCGCGGTTCCTGTCTGGCAGGGAGTGAGTAGATATCTTCCCAGCCTTCTTTCCCCAGGCTCCAGCCTCAGCCCCAAATCTCCACGGCAACCCGAGACACAATCCTGATCTGAAGAAGGATCTGGAGCACAAAGATCACTATAAAGAGACCAGACGGCTGGTGGACTTACCTCCCCTTGCTCCTTGTGTCCTGTCAGCCTGTCTGCCAGGCCCCCATACCCTAGTCTCCCCAAAGACCCCAAACTGAGGATTCTGCAGGTCTGTCCCCTTGCTGGGCACAGCAGGGCCTGGATGGTGCCCCAAAGGCTGCTTCTGCTGGGGGCGGCTGCCCTGGCTGCATCTACTCTGGAGACAGGTGAGCAGGAGGGGGCTTGGCTGGGGTGCGCAGGAGAGTCCGAGCCTACCACCCGTAGACACCGTATCCCCATGATGGGCTGGGACCCCTTGACTTGGAGGAGGCTGGAAAGCCTTGTGCCTGGTCTTGTTTGGTACCCCAAACTGCTCTGGGAGGCTGGAGCTCCAAGTCACCCAGAAACAGGGGTCTGGAGTGTGCGTGTGTGTGTGTGGGGGGAGGGAATGGATAACACCATGGGCTTTGGGGGCAGACGGTCTGTGTTCACACTCTCAGTGACATCACTGCTCCACCTCTCGGGGTCTGTTTCTTCAGCAGCAAAGTCGGAATAAGGGCCCTTGCTCCTTAAGGGACTATTATTACTGTGCATATGAGATACATGCGTAAGACATTTAGCGCCTGGCACGTAGAAGGTGCTCAATTCATTCACTCTCCAAACCTCCTTCCTCCCCCGCGGGCCTCCAGGGCAGGGTCTGGCTTTACTAGGTCTGTGCAGATTTGAGAAAAGGCTCCCACATCCTGAGCCCTGATGGCGAATTTCTTCCCCCAAAACCCACATTCTGGTTGGTCCTCAAGATCCACTGGTGCCCCTACCATGCACCAGAAAAGCCACCTCCTCTTCTCCGTCCTTAACAAAAATCAGAGCTAGTTTGATTATTTGCCTATTATCTCATTCAATCCTCACAACAACTCTGCAGCAGTGAGGATGTTTTGGGATGTAAGTAACAGATACCAAACTAACAGAGCTTAACCTAAATGGATTTATTTCAGTTAGGGAGAGTGGCCCTAGGTGATTCCAGAAATGGTTAATTTAGCAGCTCAACCATGTCAATATTTTCCCTGAGTCTCATGACCTCATCCTAGCAAGATGGCTGCTACAGTGCTGGCCATCACATCCTCAGTCAACTGCTTTCAAAAGCAGGAAGAAAGAGGCTCCTCATCACACGGCTCTCCCTTTTCTTTTTCTCTAATCAGAGAGGAAAACCTTTCCCAGGAGCCCCCAGCAAACCTCTTCAATCTCATTGGCCAGAATCTGGTCCCATGCCAATCCCTAAACCCCGCAAATTGAATCAGGATTGCAAAGTTTGGTTTAGGCCAATGATCAGGAGAGAGCAACCTACAGCTGAGAGATAATAGGGTTCTTTTATCCAGGAGCAACAGGGAGAGGCTGTGGGGTGGGCGGGTGCCCAGTTGAGTCTACCCCTCCTCGGATAAGATACTAATAATAGCTAACACTTCTGTGACACTCATTAAATGCGCAGCACTGTCCTAAGCACCGAACCCTTACCTGCCCACAGTCCTCTAGTTTCAATTCCAAAATATGAAAAGCTCTGAAAGCCCAAATTCCTTCTTAACTGATTTACTGGCAACACCTGACTTGAACTGAGAGGAGGCTGGTTCTTGTCTTTATTTGTCCTGCTTAGGGTTACGTCTGTAGACTTGCTCTAGAAAATGTGCTTGATCATGGAGGGCTGCAACATAATCTCCTGTATTACCCACCTTATCTTTCTAAAATCTGGAAAGTTCTGAAACACATCCTAGCGTTTTTGAATAAGAGACTGAGGCCCGAATTAAATTATTCAACCCTCACAAAAGTTCTGAGGTCGGGCAATCATTCCATTTTACCGATGAGGAACCTGAGGCCCAGAGAGGGTGAGTGACTTACTTGGGGTCACACAGCGGGCAGGGCTCGGAACCTGGCCGCGCGGTTCCAGGGTCCGTGCTTTTCCCTGCAGCCGACCTGGTGGACCTCTGCGGGCAGACGTGGCAGGGGGCCGGGCTGCGGCTGCTCTCGCACTCCGCCTCGCGCAGGTTCTACTTCGTGGCCCCGGACACCGACTGCGGGCTCTGGATGCGGGCGGCGGCCGCTGGCGACAGGACCCGCTTCCAGTTCTGCTTCTTCCTGGTCTACAGCTTGGCTGCGGCGGCCCGGGCGCCCCCAGGGTCCCGGGCACCGAACGCCTCCTCCCCCGCGCCGGCCGACCCGTGCGCCCCCGGGTCCTACCTGCAATTCTACGAGGGCCCGCCGGGGGCGCCGCGGCCCCCGGGGGCCCTTCTCTGCGGCCTGACCATCCCCGCCCCGGTGGCGTCCTCCCGACCCTTCCTGGGCCTCCGCCTGCTTACGAGAGGCCGCCAGCCCCGCGTGGACTTCGTGGGCGAAGCCACCTCTTTCCGGCTGGGTGGGTGCGGGCTGTTGGCCGGGGCCGGGGCCCCCAAGCCGGGGGCAGCTGCGGGCTGGGGTCCCTGGTGTGGCACCTGCGGTGCCCGAGGAGGGGGGGGTGGGGGGCTGGGGCGTGGGCGGGGGGGGGGCTGGCAGCGGGCAGAGCGCGGTCCCGGGAGCGGCCAATCCAGACCCCCGGAGCCTACCCCGTAAATCTGACTCCCCGGGCCGCGTATGGCTGCCCCCCTACCAGCCCCTGACGCACGCCCGCACACACTCCACGCCTCACACCCAACGCCCACACTCACCGTGCGCACTCCTTCACACCAGCCCTCACTCACACACTGCACACAACCCACAAATCCTGCACACGCATTCACACCACCCCACGCACCTCCCACCCGACACCCACACTCACTGTACACAGCCCTCAACCTACACACTCATTCACACATATACTCACCTACCCGTTCACAACTCCCACTCGCACATGACTCCCACACTCCCACACCTCACACCCAACACCCACACTCATGCACTGTTCACACTCATTCACATGACCCCCCCACACGACCGACCCCCATATTCACACACCTCACACCTCAACACCCACACACACTGCCCTCATTCACATGACCCTACATTCACACACTTCGTACCCCAACCCCCACATTCACACACTGCACAGTCCCCACGCCCTGCACACTCATTCACACAACCTCACACCCCAACACCCACGTATATGTGCGTACAACCCACAACTTTGCACTCATTTACACAACTCCACACCCATGTGCCTCACACACTGCAACACACAACCCGCGTGCCTGACATACTGCCCACTCACACACCTCATACACATACAGTATCACTTTGCGTGCTTAGATACAACTTACACACTCTCAAGTTCACACACGGCTCTTCTGTCCTGGGCCAGCCCTGCAGATGAACGCAGAGGGGCTGAGCGGGGTCTCCGGTGACTGTAAGTGACAAATACCTGCTTCAGCAAGGAAAGGGAACTGCTAGTAGTTAATGATCGTTTATTACGCATTGCCTTTGCCCCTGGCGTGCCAGGTCTGTCTGTTGCTCACAGCCGCACGTGCCCGTCTTCTCGTGCTCGTGTCTCGGGATGGGAAACAGGCTTGGGGGGTTAGGTAAAGGGCCCGGGTCTCCCTGCTCACAAGCGGAGCGGCTGGGCTTTAGCGGCTAGAGCACGTCCTCTTGTTCAAATTGAGTTCAAGGCTTTAGCCCCCGCAGGCTCCCCCAGGATCGGAGACGCCCCCCTGTGTCGCAGCAGAGGCTGTGTCCGGTGATGGCGAGCAGGCGAGCTGCCAAAACCCAGAAGACGCCAAAAGCACAGAGAAGCTTTCTTGCCGCCGCTGGCAAGATATCCAGGCTGGGGATTTGAACATGGGGTTGCGAACACTTTGAGACTGGAGCACGGGGCCATGTGAGGGCCCGCACGGGCTCACCAGGGACTAGACTTCAACGAGCCAGGCCCTGGACAGCCCTTTAACACGGAGCTGGTCGGGCAGAGCCCTCGGGCCGTCCCGTGGTCTCTTTAGACAAGGCTCCCACCTTTTTCTCCCCTGGCCTGATGCCTGGTCTGAATTTTGGATTTTATTTTATTTTTTAATTAAAAAAAACTTTTTTTTTTTTTTTGGAGAGAGAGAGGGAGAGCGCGTGTGCATGAGCAAGAACAGGGGTGGGAGGCAGGGGCAGGGAAAGAAATTTAAGCAGGCTCCAGGCCCAGCACAGAGCCCGTTGTGTGGCTCCATCTCAGGACCCTGAGATCATGACCGGAACCAAAATCAACAGTTGGACGCTTAACCGACTGAGCCACTCAGGCACCCCTGAATTTTGGATTTTACATTCTTTCTCTCTTCCCCTTAGTCTCTGGCTCTGGGAGGAACTATATGAAATTTGGACCCTAAATCCTTAGTGCCAAGACCAGTGGTGCCTGGGGTCTCCTTTCTGGCTCCTGTAGGCTGTAGCATGCCCAGGGGCCTACGATGTTTTGCAAACAGCTCTCACTGGCTGATTGAGAATTAACCCCTCCTTCCTTCTCTTTCTTTTTCCCTCGCTCTCTTTCTCCCTGCGGCCTTGCCTGCTTGCAAGGTGCAGCTGTCAGCCAGGGAGCCCGGGATGTTGCCGCTGCTCTGTGTTTAGCAGGATTGAACTCCTGAAAGAAGGAGGCAGGGACGAGGCCCTGTCACAGGTCTGGCTTCCTCAGATCAGTTTGTCATTTGAACGAAGAAAGGTTCATTTCACACCCTCAGGCCACACACACAGTCCCCGTCACTCACACCTGCAGGCACAGCCTGCCTGGTTCATGCACACACTCCTACATATGACACCCACATATGACCGCCCATACATCACCACACTACTGTTTGTGTTTTCTCTCACATTCATTCTTACACCTACATACCTGCTATATAGTCTGCGTTTTCTTTTGTAGACAAAAGAAACCCAACTCAAGTTGGTTTAGCCAAAAGAGAATGGGGAGGGACTCCTATAACTGGGATATTAAGGTGTTGGTTCAGGTATGGCTGCATCCAGCAGTTCAAGTAAGACACCTGGGCGCTGTCTCCTTGCTCTCTGTCTTTGCATTGTGGGCGTCTGTTTGGCCTCCATTTCAGGCAGCTTCTCTTTCTATCTGGCAGGAGGATGACCCTGCAGCTCCAAGTCCACGGTCACCATTATAGCTCTAACCTCAACAAAATGGAGAGTGAGCATCTTTTCTTATGGTTCTAGCAAAAGTGCCAGGGCCAAATCTGATTAGTCATGTGGGTCATGTGTCCATTTCCGTGGCCAGGAAGTGGAATGCTCTGATTCCCACGCCCACCCCTGAGCCAGGGTTTTGGGCAACCCCACCTGCACCAGCTTTTCTCCACAGAATGAGATGCTGGGTAAGTCAACCTCTCTGCACGCCCTGCGCATCAAGTCATACAATTCGTTCACCTGCGTGCATATTCATTCATTTAACAAATGTTAGGGAGCACCTGCAATGTGCCAGGTGCTGTTCTAGGCTCCAGGACTACAGCAATGAACGGAAGAGGAGTCTGCGTCCTCTCTGAGCTGACATTATGCGGGAGGCTCAGACCATAAGACCATAAACACGTAATCGAGTGAATCCATGTTCTGTTGAGGTGAGGAGTGCTGCAGACCATAAGACCATAAACACGTAATCGAGTGAATCCATGTTCTGTTGAGGTGAGGAGTGCTGCAGAGGGATGGAAGTCAGGACAAGGAGGATCAGAGCGCTGGGGGAGGGTGGCGTGCCATTCTCACGTGGAACTCAGGGGCCCCCTGGCAGGTAACATTTGAGTGTGGACCTGAAGGGAGTGAGCCATGCAGTTACTTTGGGGAGAGAAGGCCAGGCAGAGCCGATGGCAAGTGACCTAAGCTCTCTGGGCCTGTCTTCTGATCTCTGAAATGGGGGTAGTAACAGTGTTTATCATGTAGGGTTATTGTGAGAACTTCAGGAGCTGGGGTGTGAGTGGAGTGCTTAGAGCCATGCCCAGCACAGGGATAGGAACTCAGTAAATGTCAGCCATCGGCGTCATCCTGGTGACCACACACCTGTCTCCCACGGAACACCCACCCATGCTTTCATCTGCAGCTTTCTGCGGCTCCCAGCTCCCACGTTCCCTCACTATAGGGCTACGCATCCCTGTGTGTCACGGGCTGGCTCAGGGTTCTCATCTCATGCCTCCCCTCCTGGCCCCAGGAGCCTCTGGCGCCTACTTCCGCTGTCAGAACGGCAGGTGCATACCCCCGAGCCTGGTGTGCGATCGCTGGGGCGTGGACAACTGTGGTGATGGTAGTGACCAGGCTTCCGGGCCACCAGCCGACTGCAGAGGTCAGTGATGGGTGCGGCCCGGGCCCTGCTGAGCAGCTAGGAGGGAAACCGGGGCTAGCTCCCCTTCCCGGGGGCAGGGCCTCAGTGGGGAGGCCGGGGGCAGGGGCATGGCAGGAGAGAATAAGGTGAAGCACAGCAGTGGGGAATCCGTGTAGGCCAGACTATCTGAGGATCAGAGCAAGTTAGAGCCGGAATGACGCTGGAGATGATCTAATCCAGCTGCTTCCAAATGATACTTCAGTGGTGGAAGCTTTTCCTAAGTGAAATTTTGCAGAGGATCAAGACAGCAAAAGGGAAGATGCCCCTTTTTACTGGACATGGAGGCCCAGGCCCTGGCTGACTGATGTCCCACCGAGGGACCTGAGTTGGACCTTCAAGACTTACTTTGGAAACCATTGTCCAGTCTTGTCTCCCACATTTTATGTATGGGGAAACTGAGGCTTGGGGGAGGAGAAATGTCTTGCCCAAGGTCATAGAGCCAGGGAGTAGCATGACCAGGAATGACCTCTGTGGACAGGGGGGACCAGAATAGGCCACCCAGGAAGCTCCTTCCTGGGAATCTAAGATGCCACATCCTGCGAACAGGGCTGCTATGTACTATTGAACAGGTTGTTTACTGCAAAAAAACACCTGGCTGAAGGGGCTGATAAACCTAACCTTTTGGAGTTGTCCCAAGTGAAATACCACAGGTAAGGAGCCCAGCACCCAGCACGGTGCTTGGTGCCCAGAGAATGCTCAGTACAGACACATCCCCCTTCTTTCTTTCTTTCTTTTTTTTTTTTAAAGATTTTATTTATTTATTTGACAGAGAGACAGCGAGAGAGGGAACACAAGCAGGGGTAGTGGGAGAGGGAGAAGCAGGCTCTGCACTGAGCAGGGAGCCTGATGCGGCGCTCGATACCAGGACCCTGGGATCATGACCTGAGCTGAAGGCAGATGCTTAACGACTGAGCCACCCAGGTGCCCCTGGACACATCCCCCTTCTTGAGAAGTAGCTCCATTTATAAACCCTGGGCACTGGAGCTGGGCCGCATGAGCTCAAGTCCTCCCCTAGCACTTCCTGCTTTGTGACCTGGGCAAGCGACTTAACCTCTCTGTGCCTCACTTCCCTCATGTGTGAAATGGAAATACTAAGAGTAACAAACTCAGACAGGTTTGGGGAAACTTCAAGGAGCCCAAGTCAAGCCCTGGAAAATTCTGTGTGTTCCTCTATTATTTCCCGCTGCAGATCCCTCTCTGGTGCCCAGCCAGGCGGGGAGTAACGGATGGCCCTAAGTCCAAGCCCCTGACGCTCCCCCCAGCTCTCAGGTCTGCAGGAACTCTCCAGACGGCCGCCCAGAGCACCCCCCTCGCAGGCCGGGCCCCGGAACAGCAGGGTACAGCAGCTCCTCTGGGAGGTAGATGGCTCTTGCTTTCCGTCCGCTCCCACTCCTCCCACCAAGGTCACACTTGTCCCTCCCCACGTGACAGGCACGGGCAGCAGGCCCAGGCTGGGGCCTGAGCGGGCTTTCCCTTTCTTTCGGCAGGCCCCCGGCTCCGAGGCGTGGCGCTGGTCTCCTCGCTGGTCCTAGTGTCCGCGGGCCTCCTCGTGGGCCTCCTCTGGGGCTACTGCTCGTCCCGCTGGCTGGCCTGGAGGGCTGGTGCCCACGGCCTCTGCCCCGGCTGCACCGCCTGTTACCCGTGTCCGGGCCGGGTGGCTCCTGGGGGGCTGCAGGCCAGTGGGCCGGCCTTGCAGGGTCGGGGAGGACAGCCCTAGAGGCTGTGGCTTCAGAAACAGGAGAGTGGGCTCCGGGGTCAGACAGACTTCGCGTTCCACCCCACCCCCAGGAGGGCCACCTGCCCTTGGGCACGTCACCAAACCCGCAGACTCAGTCTGCTCCCCTCCTGCCTTGTGGCTGTCGTGAGGTACACGGGGGCTAAGCGGCCCCGAGGCTCGGGAGGTCGCTGGCACTCGGCTGGATTCGGGAAGGGCGGGGAGCAGGGGCCTCGCTCCCCTGCAGCTGCCTTGCTTCACCCCCGGCGCTCGCCTGCCCGGCTTTGCCCGCCCCCCCGGCACCCCCTCGGGTTCCACTGAGTCAAGCCCCAGCCAGAGGCGCAGGAAACAGCGCTGGCAGGGATAGCACCGTTTATTAGGAAAGATCAAGACAAAGACCACAGGAGGGTCCCTTCTAGGACACGGAGGCCAGGCGTCCTGACCCCACATCTGTGGGCTGCTGGTGGAGAGGGCACATGCCCCCACATGGGCCCTCGGGCTCCCCACAGATGGGGCAGGGCTGTCATGTCCCCTTCCTGTCCCTCCCAGGCGTGAGTCCTGGCATCTCCCACCCAAGGCACTAACTCTTTTCAACCACCAGCGCCCTCCTCTCCCCATGTCCCCTGGGCCTTCACTTCCAGATCAGTGGGGGGAGGGGGCTATGGCCTGGTGGGGGCGGGGAGACCCTCTCAGTGCTGGGCTCTGCCTGTAGCAGCTCCTGGGAAGAGTTGGGGTGGAGTTTCCCTTGCCGCCCCTGAGGGCAGGGGCCCTGGGCCAGGTGTTGGGGGGGTGGGGGGCGGGGGTGGCGGGATGCGGGCCAGGAGGGCTCGGTGGGAGGGGGAGGCTGCCAGGGGCAGGGGGCCCGGCTGGCTAGGCAGAGGTGGAAGGGGCTGGGACCCGGGCTGGCGGTGGCGGGCTGGCCTGCCCAGGGGTGAGCTGCCTGGCAAAGGGAGCTGGGGAGGCACCAGGCTGTGGGCTGCGGCTGGCTCCTGTGGGACTGAGGGGCCCGAGGGCTGCCGGACTGGACAGCCCAGCTCTGTGGGGGGAGGGGCTCTCGAGCAGTGGTGACAGTTCGGAGCCCACTCGGCCACCGTGTCTGACCGCAAGTCCTGGCGGCCCTCTGAGGCACCGGCTCTCATCCAACCTGCCCTACCTACCAGCCTGCGGCTTTGCCCAGGTGTGTTTGTGTAGGGGGGGTGGCACGCCCACCCTCCAGTCCAGCCCAGGGCAGTAGCAGCAAAGCGTGGCATTGCCTCAGTTTCTTACAAAATATTCATCATCATAATATTAATAATAATATACTCGACGTCGTGGGGCTGGGATGCCGCCTGGGAGTCCGTCTGGGGCAGGCGGCTGCCTACGAGGGGCAGGGGCGGGTGTTGGCCCCGGCCTGGGCGCGGTGCTGCAGGTCCTGTGGCTGCGGGGGCGGGGCGCCAGGCCGGGCCGAGTGCAGCACCAGGTTCTTGATACAGCCTGTGATGCCCGAGGAGAACCGGCCCCCGGTCAGTGTGGTCACGTCCGGAGCTCCGCCTGCGGGGACGCGGTGGGGGGCGGGGGGAGAGGACAGGGCCTGTCAGCTCCCGGAGCCCAGGGGCTGAGGAAGGCGGCATGCCCTAGCTCTGCAGGGGCCCCACGCCCTCCCTTGGCCCCGAGGAGGGTGCCCGAGGCAAGCACTGAGGCCCGAGCCCGGGACTTACCAACGTAGATGCTGCCCTTGCTGTTGACTGCCACGTTAGGGCCTGGGGACTGGCCGCTGACCAGCTCCTCACCGTCCACCTGGATAGAGCCTCTCCGGCCCTCTCTGTTGGTGGAATGGGGGTGGGCCCCTCACCACCAGTTCCAAGAGGCCCCCCTCCCTTTGCACAGAGATGCCAGACAGGAAGTCCTGCCCCTGCTTGGAGCTCTTTCCTTCCCCCCACTGGATGAGAGCTGGCCCCACAAACACAGCTTCCTAGCACCTCCCCCAGCTGTCACCCGTCCCCTCGGGTGCTTGTCTCCCCCGCCCCCCGCACCCCCATGGCGTTATGTCCCGCCCTGGAAGTCTTGTGTTCAGGCTGGTGGGCTCTTCATCCACCCTGGCTTCAAGTTGTCTCCCAGAGCTCAAAGCCTGTCTTGCTGCACGTCGGGGGCGGCGTCCTGTCCCACCCCAGAACTCTGAGCCCCTCGCCCCAGGGCCTGGGCGGGCTCTCTTACCGCAGCGCGGTCACCCGATGCCACTCGCCATCATCGATGGGGTCCTCAGAGACAAGGCGGGCCTCCCCACTGCCCAGCTGGTAGCTGTAGTCACATAGGCCCAAGACAGTGTGAGCTGGGGCAGACGGTGGTGGTATGTGGGGCTGGGGGCCTGCAGCTTCTCGTGGGAGGAGCCGTGGCACCGAGCAGAGGGGGAGCCAACTGAAGCGGTGCGGGCGGCCAGGGAGGGGGAGGAAGGGCCAGGTGCCCGGACCCACCTGAAGACAAGGTGCCCGTCCTGAAGCCCGAGACTGATGAAGTCCTTGCCACGGCCGGCCTCTCCCACGTCCTGCCAGGGAAGCGCGGGGTTGCTGGGGTTCCTGGTCTGGAGAGCCGAGGCCCCTGCCGCTGTGGCCTCGGCCCTCCTCCCTCTCACGGCCCTGGCCACCAGGGGGCTGGGGACCCTGAGACCCGGCTGGCCGCCCACACTCACCACGCCCTGCCAGAGCAGGAGGCCGCTGGCCGTGCGGGTCCGAACCTCCAGCTCGATGGTCTCCGGCACCTCGGGCAGGCTGGGAGTGGAGGAGGTGGGTGAGGGGGAAGAAGGTGCAGATTCCTGTTCCCCTGGCCGGCCCCACCAGCTCCCCCAACACCCGCCTCACCTCCTGGAGAAGATGCGGCCAGGGAGGGCGAGGAAACCGTCATCGTGGAAATAGGCTCCGTACTGCCCAGGGGCATCTGCGGGATGACGCGGGGGGATGGTGAGGCCCCTGCTCGTCTGCACAGAGCGGCCACCGCACGGGCTCCCGGACCCCCACCTCCACCCCAACGTGTGTTCCTCTGCAGTCTCCAGAGACCCCAGGGGGCTATGGACACAAGTCAGGGGTCTGTGAACTTGGACGGGCAGACACTAGCTCGACCTTCACTCATTCCTCACTGAAATGTAGCAGTTCCTTCTGCTGTGCATGTGGGCAGCAAAGCCAAGGGGCCATAGTGGGGCACTAACACGTTTCCTTATCACGTGACAGTGGTTACAGACACTTGAGGGCTTCCTGAAATTGTGGTAGCTCTTAGGGCCACCAGTCGATCTCGTTATGTATTGTGTTCCTACAGAAGCTCATATGTTACAAATCAGAAAAATTCTAAATATTTTGAGAAACTTATTTCAGTACAATTGGTTTCCTCTGAAATCCTATGTGTTTTATTTTACGTAGCCAGTAGGGTCCAGATAGGGTGACCAATCGTCCCTATTTGCTGAGTCCTGTCCTGGTTTTAGTTCCTGAAGTTCACATCCCGAGAAACCCCTCAGTCCTGAGCAAACTGGGAGAGCTGGTCACCTAGGTCCATGGCACATACCAGGTTCAGAACCTTTGTGTTCCCTCTATCCTACAGAGGTGAAGACAGGCTGGGGGCAGGGTGTGAGTGACCTGCCCAGAAAGCCGGAAGCCAGCATGGCAACCCGGACCTTTAGGCCCCAACGTCCATACTGTGTGTGGTTTTAGCATCCCCAGCCCTACCTGCTTGGACCCGGCCAACAGGCCAGTGCTGGTCCCTGTGGGCCTACAAGGGTGGGGAACGCTTGGCCACCCTCCGCCCAATGATGCGAACAGCGAACGCTTCCCAAGCACCTGCTATGTGCCAACCAACGTGCGGGGAGCGTCACAGGAAAGCATCCTTTCATTTAAAGGGATCCTTACAATAATCCTATGGTTTAGATATGACGTTAACAAAAGCTAACGTTCTGTACCCACTGTCGACTAGACGTTGTTCTAGGCATTTTAAGTACATTGAATAATTGTACCCTGACACAAACTTTTATCCGACCCTCGTGGAAGGATGTCACTTCTCTTTATTTTACACATAAGGAAACTGAGGCACAGAAGGGTATGTGACTCACCCGAGGGAACACAGCTAGTAGATGGCAGGGCTAGGATTCGAATCCAGAGCCCGTGTTCTTAGCCACTCTGCCACTACCTCTCCTATCACATTAGTGGGAAATAAGAAGATGGGTATCTACAAAGCAGTTGGCCCAGCATTTGCGAATGTTCAGTAAACACTGATTTTTAAGAAACGATCATTGCTTTTAAATAGACTGTGGAATCCTTGAGAAGGAAGGTCTTGCCTTGTTCATCTTACATTTCCTGCCTCCAGGGCGAGGATGGGCACGCAAGGGTTTGTTGACAGCATGTGTGAACGAACGTAGAGGAGGAAACTGAGGTCAGAGTGGCTCAAGGACGCACGCCGGGGCCGCCTAGCCAGCTCAGCTAGCCCGTAAGTACAGGGCAGGAGCCAGCTCTGTGTTGCTGGGCTCTTCTTTATTCTGTCCCTCTGAGCCCAGTGAGCCTCTCACGTGGCCTTGTCTTGCTCACAGGCCGGAACTGAGAGTGTGGGCTCCCTGGGAGAGGGGCTGCGACGGGAAGCCGAGGAGGAGACGAGCCTCTCTGGCCACAGGAAGTACGTACCGTTGCCCCCGCTGCCTTCCAGATGCCACTCGGATTCTGCCGTGCCTTGTCCAGGGCCTGTGAGGAGAGGCAGGTGCGGTCGGCGGGCAGGGACACGGCGGGTCCCGTGCGCCGCCCCCCAGGGCCCCGAGCGGGAGGTGGGGAGGAGCCAGGCCAGTTACCTTGTTGGCAGCGGGGGCCAGAGAAGCCGGGCGGACAGAGGCAGCGGGTGCCCTGGCAGGTGCCCCCGTGCAGACAGGGCTCACGGAGCTGGCAGGGGCTCTCCTCGTGCTCACAGAGGTCTCCTGCGGGCCAGGGCGCCGTGAGCGGGCGGGGGCCGCGGCGGCCACCCAGCATCCCGCGCCCTCCCCGCCGGGGCAGGGCAGCCTG